CGCAGTTGTATAGGCCACCTAGGCGGGTATAGTAGGGTAGCTTCCACATATATGGGCCCTCCAGGCCCATGGGGCCTACTAGATATGTACTTCAACTTAAAAAATCTTATTTATGACATGCATCTATTCATCAATTTTCCTTTTAATTTGAATTATTGCTATAGGAAGAATAAGAGAATGAAAAAGTATTTATCTTTTTTTATATCAGTCATCACTAAACCCATGTTAGGGTAGTGTAATTGTCCATATATGTGATCATATTTTTATAATTTCAATTGATATCCTTTGGGAGCCGAAACATGATATGGCCTTAGTGTATCTGTGATGATCACAAATTCTAGCTTCAAATTAGTCATTTCAAGGTCTAACTGTCAATTTGGGCGAGACATGGTTTTAGTCATATCAAGTTCTGACTATTTCTCACTCAATCACAAAGGATAATCTTTTACCCTACTGTTAAGGTTGAACTATCATTTACTGTGGGCCTCAACTCTTCTACAAGGAGTAATCTCTTAAGACTTTATACATTAATGAAATAAAAATAATTCATCTTTATGAAATGAATTGAATTTAAAAATTAAATAAATTAATTTTAAATTTAAATCATGCATATAATTTCAAAATTTTTAAATGCAGACTTTCGAATGAGGTTTCATTTAATTTTTCATTTCAGATGAAATTTTTACTCTTTAATATTGAACTTATGATGGAGACATCATCTAATTTACTCTCATCTTAATCCCTTAATATTATTTTTATAGTGGCCCTATAATAGTTCTTGGACTATATTTTAATATCAAATAAATCTAAGCTAATAGATAGACTCAACATAAACATGTAAAGGGAAAGCTTAAATAAAGTGAATTTTTTTACTTATTTATTGAAAAAGTTCCATATTATTTAAGAAATATATGAATGGGACTTATAATATGATCACACTTATGATCAAGATGAATTTCATACTGCACTTACTCCCTACATGCATAGAAATGCCACTAAGTTGCTTAATCACAGATGAAAGTGATGGTTAGAATAAAAAAACTAAAAGAGGCAGGCACGTTCTAAACCTAAATATCTCTAGATATTATCCTCATCTAAATTCTAGACACCATGCAAATTCATGATAGCAAGATATGATAAATTAAGTAGTGACAACATCTATTTATATCTATTATTAT